CAGCCAGCCACGCGATGGCGGCTAAGAGACTTCGAGTTGACTTCAGTGTGTAACCCGTCTCTTGAATTATACCACACTCAGTCTAACATAACCCAGATAACGACTCCAATTCTCCATCCAACTAGACGACTCGGTTCCATCCCATCATCCTTCTCCAAATGGGATCCGATCGGGTTGACGGACGCCTACGCCAACAACTCCTCTCGGCTTTGGGCACAACCGACTATCATTACCGCATATTTTCACCTCCGCCTCAATTTCTACCTCGAGGCCGACCTGTTACATTATTTCGTACTTTCAGCTGCATCTCAAGCGTTTGAGGCTTTCCTTTTTGTGTACAACAACAGACTGTACAATGGGCATGATAGCGATATCTTTTCTGGGATTCTAGACGGCGTTTTTCCTAAATACGGAGCAATCCTATAGCATTGGCCATCGCTTTGGCGCCTTCCGAGCCAGGCAGATAAGGATTGCGTTGCAGCATTACTGGACTTTGTTCCGTACAACATGTATCATAGAATAGATAATGGGTGGCATAGTAGTGTGGCCTTTACGAATACAAACCACGAAGTTTGAAGAAGCTGAACCATCCAATATGGCGTATCGCGGACGTGATCGGGGTATTGGAGATGAGTTCAAGTCGATGGGATTGTCGAGGAAGAAGATAGATGGGGCGTTTGCATTCGCGTATCTGCAACTTACCCCACGCTGCCGCCTGCCCTAAGCCTTGGCAAAGATAATGGGATTACATGCGTAGATGCACCTGCATGCCTGCTTCTTCCCCCCATGGGTGCGAGCAAGATATATATGAGCGAACGCGTCGCAAGCAAGCCTCCAGGCAACCTTCAAATCTTCCGATGCGACACCTGACCCCCTCTTCACAGACTTGCAGAATTCGTCGTTGGATTCGAAGATGACGTTCTCCCGCCCATAGTGCTTCGATTTGCGGACCCCGCAGCAGCAACTAGACGTTAGTCACAGAAACCCAAAAACAGAGTCACGCACGCGCACAGCATGGAGTTTTTCACGGCTCAGAAAGCAACGTGCCGCCTAGTCGACCAGAAAGAGCACCGTCGGCGCGTCGTGCCCAGGCGCGAGTAGACTACTGGTGCTTAACCGCGATGGTGTTCAAGGGAACACGATCTGCTGGCGCGCAAAAACGGAGCACAGTCCTTGAAAGTCTTGCCCTTGCGCCTGGCTTGCTGCTCGCGGAAGAGCCAAGAGCACGGTCAATATAAGAAGTGTTGTGACTGCCATCGCGTCATCACTTGGGCCTTTGTTCAATCTCCTCCGCCTTGGCCAAGTGAACACCGCGACTTCACCACTGTTTGCGCCGCCGAACACGCTCCTGCAAAAGTAGCCTGCTGTCCTTCGTATTCCCAGAAACCTACCTCAAAGAAACTCGAGCACCATGACTACTCGGCCAAACGAATACCAGCGCGTTGCGTCGCATGGGCGCGGAGGTGCTGGTGAGTCCCTGCTTTCCTTCACATCTTGAAGCGCAAATCCACAATACCTGGGTCATCAGCTAGGCCTGCACATCTTTGTAGCGCGAATGCGCGTCCAAGAACTACCGCATGTGGTCAGGCAGTCAACGTCCCTCATGAAGCGCTCTACAAATATTTGCCAATTTCTGCTTTTGATCGACTACTAACGTACCAAGGCAACATCGCAAAAGACGACCCTACCAATTACCCAAAGCCTGAGGACCTCGTCACCCCAACGCTCAAGTCGGACAAATACACCACCGGCCGAGGTGGCACTGGCAACATGGCGAAGAACGATCCCCAGCACCCTGAACTTGCACGCGCTGCTCAGGACGTCGAAAGTAAACCTCATCCAGAACCCCAAGGTCCCAAACACTACGGTCGTGGAGGTGCCGCAAACATTATCGGCGACGCACAACCTGCGCAACGAAAGAGTGCCGAGGCTAAGCGCAAGAGCGAGGACTCTAAGCGCGAGGATAACGGAAAGGGCCTGCTCGGCAAGGGCAAAGACTTGTTGAACAAGCTGGGCAAGAAATAGGCCTGATCACACTCATGGTCGGCGAATGATGCTACATTGTGGAACATGGTTCACACGAGCTGCCCTGGAGCCGCTGACGGGGCTTTCGGTTTCTTTATATGGTTCATGATATCCCAGGAGGTGTAAAGCTTTCTAGTAGACAGAGGAGTTGGTGGTATATCTTATTGTAACGCGGGAAAATGTCCGACTGGCACATGTTAGTCAATCGCTTCATTGTCTTCTTGATGGCTATGCCTGACAGGCCGTTTCTTCGATGTGTAAGGCTCCTGTACTGATCTTCTTAGAAAGGCGCTCTTACCCGTGATATCATAGGATGCCAGTTGGGCTTCCATTCAAGCTAAACATGCTGCTGGAACTTCGTGGGTGGCTTGAGTATGCCGCATCATCATATGTCCCGATTACATCACTCTTACGGCATTTCCACCGTGGGCACACCAGAGCTCGCACACTGCTGCTTGCTTTTCTCACGAAAGCTAGCAATCCCGACAGTTTGTCTTTTCTCAAAAGGGATAATGCTCTGATAGGACAGTGCCGCTTATTATCCACGGAAGGCCCATAAAGGGTCCTCGGCAACAAGCAAGCGTCATGCGGGGGGATTTGCGACATCCACCCACAGCGGGTCCTCGTCCTCCCGTGGTTACATCGAGACCTCGCAAACCCGCGTGTGGCACACGTTCAATCTCCAAGTATTCTTCTCAATCATTGTCGTGTAATATCCAGCGAAAAACATCTGAACCTAATTGCCGAGATCAGCATATGCACGTACGAGCCGTCTCTGCAAACGTGGAATAAGAATAACCCACTCCACTCGCGCTCAACTCCGGTTCCCGATGGCTCGGTAAGCTATCAACGCAGTCCGCCGCTCATACATCACCTGTTAGGGTCTTTCCGTTATGGAGGGTCGTCCGATCGCTATGCTGTGGCTGCAGCTAATGCCTCACAGCAGCTCACATGAGGTACGCGCTTTGGCGGGGTGTAAGAAAGTGACGTAGAGCGGCCAGCATACTCCGAACACGAGGAAAGATTGTCGACAAGAATACTCATCATGGAATCTCTGGGATTGTTGTATCATATATGGAAGAGGCAGAAAAACACGCAGCACACAAGCCAGTTCGCATGGAGCATCCTTACTCACCCACCCTCCCGAGGTCTTCTGTATGCATAGCATCGGTACTATGCCAGCTCCAGGCCTTCTTCCGCTTCACACCGTCCATTCGTAGATAAGTGACCCTGGTGAGCGGCAATGGACCTACCTAGCATGCGCTCTTGTCCGAGAGCGTGAGCCTTGGAATCTTAGGGATGATGACACCCACTCCACCACACCGTATCTGCATAGGTAATGTGGTTCGTTCAGGCTGCGACAATTACGCCTGACTCCACGACGTGGTCTGTCACTATTGGTCTGGGAGAATCTTTGCGCAGCCTTCGCCTTCCAGACCGTTTTCTTTTTGTTAGCTAAACATGTCATTCGGCTCATGGCAGGCTGGGTGTCGGCTTATGTCTTAAAGTTGCGGCACGTCCCGCCGGTGTGGCTTACTGGCTCTATATACTTGCCTGCTTTCTGCAATTCTTTGTTGTTGTGTACAAATTCGACCCTCAGCACTAGTAGAACACCAGATTCGCCATCGCTCAGTAAAACATGTCAACTACTACGACGGAAATGGAGACAGAGACCTACGTGGATACCTGGGTTCACTACCACGATGGCGGTGTCCCTGGTCGAAGACCAGTCCTCAAAGGCATCGATGCCAAAGAAACTTTCAACGAACTACCTAAGATCGACTTTCAACGCATATACTCAGACAACCTTGAGGATAGGAAAGAGCTGGCCAGAGAAGTCGGCGCCGCGTGTCGAGATATTGGATTCTTCTATGCAGTAAATCATGGAGTGGATGATGACATATTGGAGGGCACATTCGATGCATTGAAGGAGTACTTTGCACTACCGACAGACGTCAAGATGGAGACTCACAATCAAAAGACTGAGAAGTTCAGAGGTTACGAAGCTTTTCTCGAAGGAAAGCTTGATCCAAGTACACGAGGAGGTAACGTCTTTAGTGGCTCTATCTAAAACAGCTTGTCTCTCTAACAACAGCATCTAGATCTCAAGGAAGGCTTTCTAATGGGGGAAGACTTTACAGACGAAGAGCAATTATCCCTCGTCTCCTCCTTGCCCCCCTCCCCACAAACCTCACGCAACCAATGGCCCACCCACCCCTCAGCCCTCTTCTGGCGCCCCGCAATCTATCGCTACTACAAAGCCATGTTCGAATTCAGCAAACGCATGCTCCACATCTTTGCACTCGCTCTCGATCTCCCCGAAGACTACTTCGATACCATAACAACGCACCCCATGACCAACGTGCGCGCTGTCCACTACCCACCTCAAGAACGGCAGAGCGACGTGGGCATTGGCGCACATACAGACTTTTGCTGGTTCACGCTCGTCTGCCAGTCCAAAACCGCCTACCCGGCCCTCGAAGTGCTGAACGGAAATGGTATCTGGGTCCCCGTACACCCACAGCCCAACACATTTGTTGTCAACATTGCCGATTTCTTGAAGTTGGTCACGGGGGGCTCATGGCAGAGTACTGTGCATAGAGTAAGGAATATCGGTGGCGAGGAGAGATATAGCATGCCTTTCTTTTTTAGTCCGAACGAAGACGCAAAGGTCAGTGTTGTGCCGCATCTGAGGGAAGAGGGTGTCCGGTATGATGAATTTGGTGTTGGCGAGTATTTTCAGAAGAGGTTGGATATTGATCGGAGGACCCATTTGGACGGGGATGTTGAGAAGACGGAGAAGAAAGAAGAGAAGAGACCAACGAGGGAGAGGAAGGACAGTGGACTTTAAATATGCGAGCGTCTTTTGGGGGGTAACGAGACAATTTGCAAAGTGTATTTCGGCCTTTAGATATCCATGAACTAGTTATTTGCTTGAGAAATATTACGCTTCGTAAACACACGCGGTCATATCATCAGGCATGTCCATTTCGCCTTTTCGCTTCTTCTAATGCGGTTCGTAGCCGCTCTTCCTTCTCTGCGTCCTCGCCACTCTTCCTCATCTTCTTTCGCGCCAACTCCGCAATTTCGCCCTCGTTGCTGTCTAGCACACGAATTCTCCTTTCGAATTCCTCCACTAACTCCTTCCTAGCTTCTTTTTTCTCAGCCTCCAATTCTCCTATACGTTCTGCGTCCGCCTTATCAGCTTTCACTTGTGCAATTTCGGCATCTATGTCAGCATTGTTAGATTCAATCTCCAGCGTATTGAAGAAGGAGAGAAGAGCCTTGGATGACTTTTTCAGGGCTTTGAGAATCGATTGTGCGTGAGAGAGGATCTCCGGGTCGCCAGTACCGTCCTTGAGATCTTTGATAGCTTCAATGACGTAGTCGATTTCTTTTTGCTCATCGCTCACTGCATCGACGACGATCTCCCCAATAATTCGGACAAGCTCGCTTATACGCTCAGCCTTCTCGCGCTTAACTCCAAATACGGCTTGTTTCTCAGCGTTCTCAAAGTGCTTCTCTACGATTTTCATCTGGCTGATGTTGCCAGCGGCATACAGAGGTTGCGTCTCGGTCTTTTTATAGCGTTTGTCGCGCTCTGCAACGAGCTGAGCAACGCTGTCGTGTCTCTTCTCGATCTGTTCGTGAACATCCCTTAGCAGTTCGAAGCAGTCTTTCGTGCTTGGATCATCTGTTCCCTCTAGACTCCTGAGTCCACGTACAGAGGAATGAAGTAGCTGCTTAGCTTCGACATACAGATCCATGAGGACCTTGATCTCGCCATGTAGGCCAGTGAAGACCGGGTCGAATACGGCGTCCACATAACTCTGATATTCGTCTCTGTCTTCTTGTGCTTTGAGCTCTGCTTCTTTCTGCTTGAACTCTTCTTCGAGCTGGTTCATCTCTGCGTACGAAATCTCATTGCTGTTGAATAAATCGTCATTGTGCTCCTCGTTCTCTTCTTGGCGCTTGCGACGAGCGTCATCCTTTTTGCGGCGGCTTAGAGATGCTGACTTCTCCCATGTCTTGGTAAGCTCTTCGACCTTGCTGGATTTTGACCCAACATCCGCTAGCTTAGCTCTAAGGTCCTGTATCCGGCGGTTTGGAAGGTCCGAATCGATTTGCTTCGACAACAGTCTTTTGAGAACTTGATTGGGATCTTCTTTCGATGGTGCAGCGGTGGACGTTGGGCGACGTGGAGTTAGAGTCAATGGCGCGGGCAAAGGAACATCTGCTTCGCTACTGGACGGTTGAGCAACAGGCGCCTGCGCAGTCGCTCGATGAGCTTCAAAGAAGATCTCATCATGTCCCTTGCTGCTCCTACGCCCTGACGGTGAAGCCACAACTGGAGTATTGGAGAAAGACATTGTTTGTCTGTGCTTCAGCTGAGGGTCGACAGATATGCTAGCAGGAGGAACGTATGCCTTGTATTGAGGTTGCACCTGCTCTTCGGGCAACGACTGTACTGGCGTTTTGTTCGTGTCGTCGTCAATAGAGCTTGTCGGGGTTAGGATTGTTGTTGATACTACCGAAGGAGGTGCCTTTGGAGCACCCTGGTAATTCTCAATAGGCGGTATCGTACTCTGACGTGCCAGAATAGGTCTTCCACCAGGACTATATTCATAGTCGTCTTCATATGCAGACCTGTGCGGAACTTGTATGTTCAGGTCCTGCCTCCTGGTGGACATGTCTGAAGCTGCACGAGAGCGCGCAACTTGATCTGTCTCGTGCGGCACCTCTGGCACTACTGGAAGCGTTTGCGTTGAGGCGTCAAAAAAGTTGATTGCCCGCATGCTAGACTCTACCTTCATAAACGCTCTGAAAATCTTCATCTTCTCTTCAACTAGTGGTGCTGTTGCCTCACTACGAAGCATAGCTATGTATCGCTCTAATGAGCCAACGTACCATGGGTCGATATCCGAGATAAGATCAGAAGGGGTGGGTTTCGGCAACTCTCTCAGCTTTTCGGCTTCAAGTTGGCGTTTCAGCTCAGCGACAATATTGTCACGCTCCTCAATATTATGTTCTTTGCCTTCCACATCTTCTTGCAGTCTTTCAATTGTCATGTTCTTTTCCTTCACTAAAGCCTCGGAATTGGCAGTGGCCTGGTCTGCTGCTGTTCTCATAGTCTCAATTTGCGCACGTAAGACGATCATCTCGCTCGTGCTGTGCGTCTTGTTGGCTTGATACTCAGATGAGAGTTTCTGATTCTCAGCTTGTAGTGCCTCAATCCTCGCGTGTAGTTCAGCACTTTCCCGTTCTGCATCTGCGCGCAGCTGACGGAGAAGGTCATCCTTCTCTTTCAACTTCACAGTATAATCATGACTGGGGATCTCTGCATCTTGAAATACATTGTTATTCTGTGATTTGAAATGATGCTTTGGTTGTGTCGGGGTGTGTTGTGATGGATTCCATCCGCCTTCGGTCATGGCAGACTCTGTTACGAACAAAGCAGGTTGATGAGGAGGCTTCGTACCGTGCATAGGTTTTGGTGTAGTTCTCAAGGGCGCTACGATGGCATCTTCTACTGCGAACCCTTGGTTGGGCGACGGTGATCCTTGTCGCTCAGCAAGACTTGTCGTTACAGATGGCGGTGTGGGTGTATAGCCTTCGTCCCACTCGCTCGAACTCACGTGTGCGGGACGTACTGCAGGACTGGGAAATCCATGCGTGGAGGGAGGAGATGGACCGTGGGCAGGCAGCTCAACGCTTTCCGGTTGAATAGTCTCGCTTTTCTTTTCCTCTCTCTTTACTCCGAAGAGTTCTTCGTCGTCGATTTCCTCACTGCCACCCAAGTGTTCCCAATCAGAAGGCGCTCCAGCAGCTAGCACACTAAACCTCGACTTGTCATCACGGGGTGGAGGTGGTATAGGTAGTTTGGATGCAGGAGGGTTTGGCGAGGATGTCTTGTTCTCTGCTCGCTGTGCATAGAGATTGGCAAGAGCTATGGAGCTCACGGAGTCGGTGCGCCCAGACACGGGCTGGTAACCAGACGCGGAGCTTACACTCGGACGATTCGATATCGGAGACACGGGTTGACTCGGTGGGCTTGGCTGATGGTAGAAATTAGACGTAGCGGTATCAATTCGATTGAATGGCTTTGGTTCTTGAACCTCTTGGTTTGTTGTCTGAGAGTACTGCTGTCCCGAGAAAGAACTTTGTGTTTGATTTCCTGATTGCGAGGGCTGCTGGTGCGGCTCATACGTCTGTGCTATATTGTGTTGATAATTGGGCCCAGGCGCAGGAGATGCAGACTGCCACGGTCTCTGGAAGTGCGAGTCTTGTGAAGGGGGCTGACCGTGCTGTTCATACAGTGAATATCCGTGTTGTTGCTGTACGGGCTGTTGATGCGATTGTGCTTGTGGATATACTGGTTGTCCGACGGGCTGTTGCTGAGCTGGTACCACACTCCCGAAATGACCTTGGTGTTGATGTTGCTGCTGCTGCTGCTGTGGGTATTGGCCTGCCGATTGCTGGAACTGGTGAGGTGTCTGCGATGGTGGTGGGTATTGATCAGGCGTTGGATATCCGTACTGAGGTTGGTGGTGCTCTGAATGTTGCGGGCTCTGTAGGCTATGTCGTGGAGGCAGAGGTGGTGCTTGTTGCTGCTGTGCACTATGATAACCTTGTGAGTAAATACCAGTGTCCACGGTTGGCCTAGGTTGCGTGAAGCTGTTTGCGCCGCCCTGGTGGGGCGCATGTTGTGACTGGTGCCATGTTGGAGCTACTGGGGGAGGAGGAACGTATGCTGGTGCACCATGTCCATTAGAAGGCGGCTGTGTGTAGGCCGGCTGCTGCTCGTTCGGACTTGTAACCGTGGAGGGCTGTCCTGTACCGTAGACGGAGCTGGGCCGTCCTCCTTGTGAAGAAGGGAAATTTGGCCTGCCAGGTGTGGTAGAGGGCGGAGGAGGAGCTGCTTGATGATAGGGCTGTTGTGGCGCTCCCTGCACTGGATACCCTCCCTGTTGCGCATGAGGAGCGTACCCGGTGTTCTGTTGCGGTTGTTGCGACCAATTCTGCGTGCTCTGCTGCTGTTGCTCTTGCCGTTGGACTGCCGCTGCGAAGCCATAGGGTTTCGGCGGAGGCGGAGGAGGCTGATCCTGCTGAGGCGGGGGTTGGTATGAATGATGCTGCGCCCCTGGCATAGTGCCATATGTGCCTGGGTTGTATCCTCCCGTCCCTTGTTGTTGCGCTTGATTCCATGGGCCTGATGTGTGTGTTGGCGTCGGCGCAGCCCATTGACCGTGGGCTTGGGGAGCGGATGTTTGGTAAACCTGAGAAGCTTTGCCATCATGTCAGCGCCTCGCTACGTAGATATGCCCGATGCTGAACAGACATACCTCCATATCCAGGGGGCGGTGGTGGCACTGGTGGAGGGCCAGCCTGTCCGGTGAAGCTTGTCGTGCGTCCTGGCCGCTGATAGCCTGGGGCTTGCCCGTAGTTCTGCATCGCGAGTGCCGTCTCCTCGCGCTACCTGCCCGGTCTATGTGTGTCGCAAGGCGTGGCAGATGGTCTTGGTTGGGCGCGTGCTCTCGAGATACGAGCTGAAGTGCCTGTGTGTATTAATAGGCTCCCCAGAAGTGTGATATGCACATGTACGGCAAGTGCTAGAGTTGGATCACGAAGCGAATTGAGATAAATCGTATGGCATTGATGTAGATAGTAAGTACAAGAAGGCTATACCGAAATACGTCAAGCTGTGCTTCGCCTACACGGCACAAGGCTGAATGCTCGAGTCCAGGTGTGCAGGAAGTGGAGTGGTGTCACAGCCACGCGGTGATCTGCATGTGCTCTTGTCCCCGCTTCCCGTTGCCTGGCTTCCTCCTGTCTTGGCCCTTGTCTTAGCAAAACCAACTCGCTTTCTTCTCAACATCGTCGTTGCACACCAAAAGGTGAAATCGAGTGAATTCTCGAGATAAGATCAAACCACAGTAGATTCGTAAACCAAACCAGCCGCCTTTACGTTCAAATCCTACTTCTCCGTCTCTGATCTGCGATATGCGCAAGGACATACTCCACGTCCATCGCAATCGCTTCCAGTGTTTCTTTTTGCTGGACACCTTTCGGAGCCTTACGTGTCATGCCTCCCGCCGTACTCAACGTCATCTGCGTCACGTCAACATACATCCACTAGCGCCTGAAACACGGGGCCTACCATATCCCAACGATGACGGTCGTTGTTCGCAGAGTCTGCTCCAATGAGCCTTTCCAATGAGACGTAGGTACCCTCTGTCAGCTTCTTCCCTTGTCGCTGCTTCTGGTTTGCATCAGGTGTTGACCCAGACTCCGCGCTGGAAGGGAAATGGTAGCATTGGGAAGAACCTCGCATCTTCATTCGACTCGTCTCTTGTACGATCTTGACATCGCCGAACGATACATAATCAATCGGAAGCTGAACTGTGAATGATTTGCAGAGCTCAGAAGGAGCCTCCTTCTGGTATGTGTTTGCTGTGACGACGAACACATGGAATACACGATCTTGTAGTAAGCTAAGGCCAGCGACCTTGGGCATCATATGGAACATTTGAGATACTAAGATACTTCAGCAACAGTCTGGACAGACGCATAACTCCTAGATGAGAGACTTACTAAACATTTCTACATTGTGAATTTCCTCATGGTGACCTGAGCGCTGTACAGCCTTTAATAGTTCTTCGTGGTCCCACTTCAAAAGTTCGATGGCGTCGAAAACGCTCGGCGTATAGGTAGCTTCATTGCGACTGTGGTCTTTTGCCAGCAGGTCGCCCAACTCGGAAAACTTGACATGGGTATTGCTATGAGTAGAAGTCCTGACTGCCCATTTGGCTTGGTTCAAGTCTTTGATGCGCTTCTCGACCGAGACTGGGACAGGAATCTCATCGTTGCTCTCCGTAGCGTTCAATGGAGGCATCATTACATTTCCACTGTCGGGGCTCCAGGTCCCGCGGTTCTCAAAACCTTCATCGAATTGAATTCTTCGTACTTCGCTAAAGAGGCTGTCGAGAAAGTGCACTAAGCTTACATTATGATCTGAGGCAGCGTTGTTGTATGCCTGATGATGGGGCAAATCGAGCTTCTTTAGAGGATTCAGGTTGAGATATTGACGTTTTGGCGTCGCTGTGGTGATGACCGTAGTGTCACCAGGCATGGAATTAGCATCAGCATCTTGCCCGACATTGTGCTGGGATCGTAGTGTCTCGGGCTGGACAGGATTCCTTGCATCGACAGGTTGTGCCATGGTTCTAGCGGAGCGGATGTCTTGGAAATATGCAGCAGAATACAACAGGTCGTTAACGTAGATCCGCTGCAGTCGTTTGACAGGTGACAGCACAAGTGCGTTGAAGGCCTAGACCGCTGAGATGCAAAGAATCGTCTAGTACAGCGGGTAATCGTTGCGGCTACCAGCATATAGATCAGCTGCAACCCATCCCACTTGAGCCATTTTCTTACGTACATGACTATGTGAGCCACAAGTTCGCACAAGGACTGTATGTGGCGGCAGGCGCGAATAGTGTGTAATGCGAGCGTGGTGACTAATAGGTAATACACCACCTGCGCATGTGCCGCGATGATCTAGAACGGACTGGAACTGCACAGACTGTATATAGAGGAAGTGTTGTATGTATTGTAGAGGCGATTGGTAGATGCCAAGCAGAGGCTTGATGGAAAACGCGACGATAGAGGACGAAGTTGTAACACTGACACGGAAGATCGACAAGTACAAGTGCCCTTGATTGGCTCGTGCCTGTTTGTGTGACGCTACGATGTGCTAGCTGGAAAGCAGCCAGTGTTCGGTTTGAACTACATGCTACCTAGATGGAACACAAATACTGTCTTGTAGGCAACCTGCAACGATAGTGCGTATTGGGTTTCGCGTTCTGAGATTTACAAGTCTTTGGCATGGAGATACTAGGTACAATACTTAGCTGGCAGGCAAGCTACTTAGCAAGCGCGACATAGGCTCAACTCTTTGCTGTGCTCTAGCGACATGACACAAATAATATTCTTTATTCCAGGACTACGCTCTTCATTCACCGAAGGTTGCACATACCCCTTGTAATGAAAATGGCAAAGTATGCGACTTAAGTAATGCAATTCCATTCGCTAATAATTCTTTGGAAGCGTGTTGGATAACAAACAGGTAGTGTCACAAGACTCACTCAACATGCGTTAAAGCGGAATTGGTCCATGAATTTGGAAGGCCTAAAGATATATGTGAGACTGCCACAGGTGCCTAGCATACTTAAGTACAGGGTGTGCGTGTAGAATTAAGCAGCAGATCAGTAGGTGCCCTTCTGATCTATCGACTCCATCACCATTGGGTCATAGAGAGAACACGCAAATGCGGGCCGATATTCACTTTTGAATGCCGAGTCAGAAAAGCCGGTTGTCTAGTCCCGAGATCGTCCTGCTGTCAGTACTTACGTTCCGCGGGCGTCAAACTGATAACACGATTGCTCCTCGGAGCTCACAGCCAATGTCTGCAGGACCCTCGCTCGCCGTCCCCACCCGGCAATGGCAGGATTCTCGTACCGGACGTCTGGCTCAACTGTGGTCTCGACTAGCTCTCACTGGCAGTGAGCTGCGACTTGGGTACTCCACAGCACCTGCATAATGCATATATCCTTGCCTTTGCCCATTCAAACGACATGCCGAAGTGCCAAATCTACTACCATAAGCTGCATGCCGATGCTTGAATCAGGCGACAACACAAAATCAGCTGTTTTTGTCATAGTGAAATCTTGCGATAATCTCCCTCTTTTCACGCGGAATGTGAACGAGCCCGCGGGCCATAAAAGCCACTGTCCGCGGTAGGTAGACAAGGGCCCTCATAGTGTATCCGGAATCCGAGCGCGCCGCGGATTAAAATCGACAAAGGCTATTGCTATTATGTTGTCATTTCAAATTGGGGCGTCTTTGCTTGCCATGTCGGGAGCTTTCAAGTGTGGGTGGACCCGTTCGCTCTATTCCTTTGAACGTGCTGTCGATCGGCAAGCGCGGGCCCGGTATACAACGCTGACGATAGAACATTGTTGTGCGGCGTGGACTCACCTGTCACGTGATACTGATTATCGATTGAATCCCTGCCATGTGGTGCTGGATCAGCATGCCAAATCTTCGATGTTGATGGACATGGATAAATCTCTCAAAATCCACTCAGCACGCTATGCCAAGCGCATAAGCTCGATGTTGCTCGGGACGGCCGAATGAAATAAGTCCGCCCTAGCTGCTAGCATGACTTTTACTACAGTGGCAAGTTAGTTACTTCTCGGATGCATGCTCTCCGTTAGGCGCCATTGAACCCGCCTTGGGCAAGCATCGAGATCGCCTCGTACGATTTGTGGTCATGTCGATTCAAACGAGGCTGACTGCCTGCCACACTATACAACGAAGCTGGTGGAAGGGTCCAGACCATCGCCGTTGCCAACTTTCCAGCCCCCATTTGTACGAGAGAAATAGTCAAGCACATAGTGTTGTTCAAGCGAAAAGATCTAGATTTCCTATGTACAAACTCCGCGTGCTCCTGCAACTGCCCACATGCTCGCCATGCAGCAGTTCCGTATATTCTCACGGAATATCCCACGGGAACTAGGCTTCCCATACCTCTACTCCGAAATGGCAGGTCTCCTGCATGCAAACAACATCCATTCAAACGGCGCAGGCTTTGCGCATCTAGAAGGGCCCATCATCCAACTCCAACCCCTCATTCTGTCAGGCAGGGATCCGTCCTCGGTATAATCACTTGGTAATCGAAAGGTCGACTGATTGCGTTTGGGGTATCATCTCGAAATGGCAAATAACATATGAAAACGTAAAGCGTCTCCGCGTATGCTTACTGGGCTGATGTGCGATACACGCATGCCAAACGTGGCTTTACTGAGGTTGTGCAGCGATACAGCTGCTCGCATGTAGCACATGCTGTCCACTGGAACGAGCCATGTGGAATGCTCCTACCATATCGTGTACTGTAACATTGATGTAAATTCAAAAAATCAAGGCGAACCTTCGGTTTCCATCACGTCGTCATCCGCTGCTCTTGATGCTATCTCTCCTGCTCTTACAAGGACGGCGAGTGATCCCTGATTTCGATAATCGTGGGAATTATGTGAGAGGTGGGACGAAGGTATCGGTGGCATCGGCCGGTCCAATGGAGAAGCTAGTGGTCCCATGCTAGGCACCGGTTGGGGAAGCATGCGCATCGTTTTGCTCGGGTCTGCAGGTAATGTCTGCCCGGGGTAAACTGTCATAGGATACCCTGTGGATCCTTGCGTGCTATGACCACTCTCGGATGATAGTGTCGTGTCTTCGTGGCTGAGAGGGGGAAGACGCGCGGATTCCCGCGGAGTCCTACGAGAAAGCAGGTCGATGGGCGCCTGGTAGTGAGCTGAGTGAGGATATGAAGGCGGTGGTGTGGATGCGATTTTCTGGTGGAGATCCAGATTGTACGCAGAAGGTTGATGATATGGGTTGGCATCAAAAGGAATCCTTGGATCCCGAATGGGGTTGGGTACTGATGAATCAAAAGCACCATCTCTTTGCATGCCAGTGGTCCGTGGAGAGGCAGAAGTGGGGGAGAACTGTTCGCCTGAGCGCGGAGAGGTAAAGCCAGAAAGGGGGCGGTTGGCCGGCGACGTTGAGGTTGAGGAATAAACTGGACCAGCTGGAAGTCGTGAAGAGCCAATGAGCGGGATGGGATCCGATTTCTGCTGCGGTGTTGTTTGGGCATCTGACTGGATAGTACTTAATGCTCGATTTGTGGCTTGGTCGTTCTGTTCGTAGCTGCCTCCTCGTGTTGAAGTACTGGTTTCGGACTCCAGTTTCGAACGTTTGCCTTCTGCACGTGTCAATACCTTGCGGGAGAGTTAAATGGAAATTGTAAACAGACCTTTAGTAGGCACCGAGTGCTTCGCCTTAAAGTCTTCAAGGTACTTCTGGTAAGCCTCGTAGTTTGGCGTCTTCTTGTACTCGGCCAGTTCCGCATAGTACTTCTCTTTTGCACCATTGGCTTGTCGTTCGCAGCCTTCGCGTTCCTCGGCGGGCAAGACCTGCCATTTCTCACCGACTACCTTGGCAATCTCGGTGAAGGAAAGATCTTGTCCCTTCAGTGACTCTCGCACCTCTGCTACGAGTTAGTTGACTTCACAGTGCACCAAGGCAAAACTCACGGTTTGAGAAGATGACGTAAGCCGATGGTGGGCGTTCGGGGGCATGTTCGTCAGGCTATGCCAAGTTAGCAAGGTTGCAGGACATGGCAGAAGTTGACATATGAGCTACCTTTGGGTGTCGCCGGTACTTTCGCTTTGCGCCTGTGCCACCGGGCGCAGTGTTGGTAGAGTCTGGCTGCTTGGCTTTGGCCTCTGGCCCTGAGTCGTCACTGCGGTATGAGCCGGCAGTGCTTCCAGCTCGTGCAAGACTGATGGGTAAGGGCCGATCAGAAGACTGTCCGCGCGATTCGGCGATGGCCCGTTGAAGTTTCTACAGGAACTTAGTTATTGGTAAGGCTTCAGGCAAAGGAAAGTGACCTACTCTACGATGTCCAAGCTTGACGTTTAGGGAACTTCTATACAAGAGTGAGCACAGATGTCTCCAGGTACGGGTGGGGTATGCACGCACAAGTCGGATTCTGTTATGTCGAGCACAGTCTCCCATGTGTCGAAGCCTTCGGCCGTGAACACTTCGTGGTATTGGGACAGTCCCAATCGCGCGAGACGTTCTCTCAGGTCGCTCATGTAGGAGGGCGTGAGCGCGACCGCTGGGGTGGTGTGGTGTAGCGACCAACTCTCGAAATGGGCTGGTCGTCGAGGGTTCGATATGTCTGGAATTATTAGAGCACTAGTGGCAATGGGTTGGGATCGAGCGTGATCGATAGGACTCGAGTATGGCGAGACTAGTGTACAGGGATAAAATAGGAAATGGTCGCGTCGTGGCCCAGGCGACGTGATTGGTGCGGCACGACGAGTGTGGCGGATCGACTCGTAACGAAAATCCGCGTAAGGGTCAAAGTGTTGCAGGGCGCTGGGCGCAGAGAAGAGCAAGTTGAAGGAGTAGTCAACGACTAAGATGCATCCATAAGTGGTGGCGCCTAACGTTGGGTTTGGGGTAGGTGGGTCCCGGACCGATCAGCAGAATTCTGTGATTATGCTGTGGTAGGGGCAGGGAGAGTCTCGGCTATTGTAGCAGTAAAGACAGCGGACGCAGCCTAGTGGAGGCGCGACCAGGACAACGGCCGTCGAGAGTCAGCAAGCGGCCGGAGCTCATTTGGCGCGTCCCAAGCGGTGCTGCGCGCTGAGCAGAGTCGCACGAGGCCTGGGCTGCGGTGAGAGTAGGCAGTTCCGGGTGAGGGCGGTGCAGGTGCAGACCCAGGGAGAAGGGACTGGACTAGTAGTGGGTAGGATTCGGCGCAATCATGGCGGGCGTTGCAATTGGCGCAGGAGACGAGTCAGAGCGAGTGGGCGTGAAGGCGGCAGCGGGAGTCGTGACGATGATGTTGGAGGAGGCGGTGGTGGTAAAGACGGGAGCAAAGGAAGCAGGAAAATAATAATGTGTGACTGTGCAGCAATACCTCCTAAGGGCCCGGCCCAGGGCTCTCGAGATCAGAGCAGGCGATCGACGCAATGGACGGCCAGCGAGCGCGAACAGGGGACGATCAAGGGTGCGAGGGAACGCTCCAGCCACCTCATCCGCACGGGGAGCAGACTGATGCGGAATCTCTTCCTGGATGTGACGCCGACTGATAGGCTGCGAGGGCGTGCGGGCGGCGGGTGATGCTGTCAAGTCTACAGAACATCTCAGACAAAGGCACGATCGACGAAACGCCGGTACCTACAGTAGGGCCGGTTCACACGAGCCGGCGACGTCCCAGTCTGCCATGCATGCTGCCTGCGCTGACGGTGCTCCGTAATTGCAATTTCATAGCCCCTCGTCCACCAGCCCTGGCTAGCATGTCCATGGAGAAAGTGACGTTGAGCTGACACAAACGCATCTGTGTTTCGTCATCCATGGCCTTTTTCCTCCAACTAAGCGAACACCAGACATTCGATCTGCGATGCGACGCAGATGGCGGCGTCGTGTGCGAACGAACAACAAACCCCCGAAAAGCCCTAAAACGGGCTGCATCGGCGATTAACATTCCCATGCGTCAACACGCGACGACGCCTTGTAGTTCACGCTGTTGCACGTCGTCTCCTCTGCTTGATTACACTCACTGCACCCGTCACCTGTCGCCCTGACCCTGACCCTGACCTGGCCGTGGCTGATCAACGCGCTGCAAGGGGCGGGAAAGGACATCTGGGCACGCCCACTTCCGCCCAACTCGACATCACCAGCGGAGCGGAACGTTGCGTTGCTCATTTCCTCTTGAAGCAACGCCGTCCTTGGCTAGAGCACGCACGTGAGTATGACAGACGGCCGCATATCCATGAATACATTGCGCTATGTCTCATCTGAAGCTCCATGGTGATGGCATACTGGACCCTTGGGCGTCATTACAACCGCCTTGAATCTACCCCAGCGTGAGCATCGCGTCCGACGGCTCGTCAGCCTTTTCATCGACGTTGCCTCGTGACCTGTCCAACCTCGGCAGCAGACAATGCCGGGCTAGGCGCACCAACCGCACTGCTGGCCGTGTCGTCGTCGCAATGTGGTTTGAAATCATACGATGCTGCATTTGTTGGCTCGCATCGGCCCTACTCGTCCTCCAGAACTGTCTGCCCATCTCCTCCGGGCACCATCTGGAAATGTCAGTACTGGCGCACAAACTAGACAGGGCGTCCCATACCATGCAGATGTTGTTGCCGTTCAATAGAATTTTGGGCAGCTGCACATTTCCCTCTGCCGGGTCACTGCCGTCGTGTCAGTCGCACTTGTCCGTGTCGAACATGAAAGAACCTTGGAAGCTACGCACATCTCCGTCACGTTCTCCAAGACCATGTCTGTTCTTGTTAGAGTAGTTCCGTCCACGTTGTCTCACTCAACCCCACTTACTGACGTAGTCATCGAATCCAACCAGCTTCCCGGTGAATTCTTTCCCTCCGTTCATAATGACCCAAATCTGCGAACCTACACATTTGTCGATGAGTTCTACAGAGGTTAGTCGATAACCGATACTCGCTTGCGATCAAGGCCTACCTAGCGGAAGGAGGTTCTCGAGCGACATGGTGGCGTGTTTTTTTCGTGAGCTGAGTATCGGACGTTGAATATAGAGGTCGTGTTTGAGGTGCAGGTAAGACCAAGGTGGTGATTGGTTTCGATATCTTGGCGTTCAAGACCATCTTTCACAGGCGACACGCTAGCCAACCAGTGCTTGCGAAGCAACAGGCAGCAAACATCTTGTCCACACACGATCAACTCGCATCCGTGGCGACTATCCTCTTCTGTCGGCGCCTAGTGGGAGCACTACCATGGAGTGTTATGCTCTTCCGTCGACGCGCCTCTCTGCTGAGCGCGTCAGATGCCCCGCGGCGTGCTTGCCATGAGACATCCACCAACACCCTACCCTCTGTGAAGCGCCATACATTCGCCACGCATACGTTGCGTATTGGAGAGTGCAGGGCAATGCACACCACTTCACTATGCTCAACATCTGCTACTCCACCCGCCTCGACCTGCTGCTGGAAGCGAGGACGGCCTGCCACCAGACGCGACAACTTTCCTAGAAGACTCCATCAAACCCCTGCTGCGGGGCCACAACCTTCAGTGAGCCAGCCTATTTCCAAAGAGGCAGTACCCATGGCCGAAGACCCTCGTTGCAAAAGTCAAGCATCGGCTACGCTACACGTACGACCTGCTGAGACTCCCCCAGCACCAGGCGCTGACCGATTCCAGCGGGTGGGACTATGGAATCCAGCTCATGGACTACGTTTTGCGACGACAGCGGCGGCCGAAGCGTCTAAGTCGGACTCTATCCATGAAGCCGCCGAGACTGTGTCTTCACGTATAGATGAATCAGCTGCGACGATTCGCACTGACGAGTCCTCTCCGAACACTCGAAACGAAGCAAACGATGCTACCGGACACACCGAGGAAGTTGCTGTAGAGGGCACTTCAGAGAGCGACGATTCTAGCGGTGTTTCATCTCAGCCCGAGACCGAGACCGAATCCAAGGACGACGAAGAAGATAATGCAGATGAACACGTTTCTCTCACATATCAGATCCCAGAGGAAAGGTTGCGTGCTGCTATGCTTGCCGCTCCCAACACACGGGACAGTTATTGGAGTGCCAAACTCTATCAAGGACCTGATGGCGAATCTCTCTCCACCCATTACTGCAAGTCTTTCGATGTTGCTGAAAGGGTGGCTAAGTATTTTTTACAAGAGAAGGTAGTTGGCTTCGACATTGAATGGAAGCCTCGTGGAAATCCATATTCGATCAAGCAGAATGCTTCATTGATTCAGCTGGCTTGCGAAGATCGAATCGCACTCTTTCATGTGTCGCTTTTCTCCGGAAGCAAAGCGGAGCAACTAATGCCTCCCAGTCTGAAGGCTGTCCTCGAATCACCAGACATCTACAAAGTAGGTGTGTCTATCAAGGGCGACTTCAAGCGCCTAGAGAAGTACCTCAATGTTCAGCCTCAGGGGGTTTTCGAGCTGAGCCGCTTGCATAACCTAGTTGAGTGGTACGGGGTAGAGCCTAGCAAAGTCTCAAAGAGGGTTGTGAACCTCGCTTCCCAAGTGCTGCAGCATCTGCAGCTGCCCTTGTATAAAGGCGAGCAGTTAGCCGACGACTCCGAAACAACACCTAGCGTTCGGGAAAGTGACTGGAGTCTTCCTTTAGATGTGCAGCAGATACACTACGCAGCTGCTGACGCGTATGCTGGATTTCGCCTGTATCATATGCTCGAATGGAAAAGGACACGGATGAAGCCGGCCCCTCCTCCAGTAGCTCTTTGCGATTTTGATAACAAGCCTTCACCAAGGCCCAAGGAATCCCGCAAGAGAATCAAGAAGTCCAAGGACGTAGCAGACACAACTGTAAAGTCCGCAGTTGACGTGGCTGAAGACCAACAAGAAGACGAAGGAGACACCGAAGGTTACGAGACAGCGACAGAGGAATTTGCTGACAGCCATCAACTCGAAGAATCACTGTATGCAACATCGACAATTGTCTCTGCAGGTGGCGCGGACAAGACCCACGTGTCCCAATCCACCCGAAGCAGTGATCTAGAAAAGACGGAGAGAATGGGAGCTGAAAGCATAATTTCTCCTGAAAAGCGGGTTGGTCGAGTGAACCTCTCCCGGCTCGACCATACTAATTTTGGATACCCTAAACTGCCTGAGACATCACAAGAGGAAGACACAGAAACACTACCCTCTGCACTGTCTAAAGAAGATGTTGGTGTGCAGCTAGAGGGTCAAGACAAGGGTGTTTCCTTTCAGAGGCAAAAAGCTGATGATGACGAATTTGCAGACCCAGAACTTGAAGATGCACTCAGACGTATGACTCTAGACGACAGTGGAAGGTTGACAGAAGATGCGAACGGCCTAGCATTGGAGCATACTTCCCCTGACCTTCACGAACCTAACGGGCCTATCCCAGCACCACAACCGGACATTGGTCTCCTGGACGAGCCATCACGAACACCCGAATACAACTTGGCGACAACATGGGCACAAGAGCATCTTCAACTTACCATCCCATCGCCTTCCTCGACAGCACCCTCGCGTATACGTGCAACCGTGACGCACCTTCGCGCTTATCATATGTGGTATTACCAGAAGCTTTCGATTGATAGGATGACCCAAATTTTGCGAGATCCGCCGCTCTCAAGTAATACGGTCGCAAGCTATATCTTGCAGGCAATTACGTTGGAGCGACTCGAATACGAGAAAGAGTCCCTTAGAGACGTATTGATGGTGATGCCTTCCGGGGTGCGAAAGGGACGATGGAGGGCGCTAGCAGAGGAAGTCGATGCGCTGGAATGAGTAACATGAGCTATGCAATGGAATACCTATTCTTAGAATTCGTTCAACATGAAGAGGACATGCATGTCCATAAGGCATGTATGGCTTGTTCAGCACTATGTGTTCTCTTCGTATTCATGTAGTGTCCACTTGCATGTAGAGATTCTGACACGCGCTTGAGCGGAAGCCATTCCGCTTCTGTCAACACAAGGCGGCTCAGCATTGCACGTTCATGACTTAACAGCGTCCAAGTGGACACAGTGTCGATACAGATAGAACAGCATGCTAATGTAACGCAAATCCTGAGATTTAGTGAAGACGTGTCAATATTGCCATGGAGTCGTACGCGTTCAGGTACCAAACTAAGTCAGGGACCAGGCACCGCTAGCTCAACCCCACGCGCGTGCCAACGCGAAACTGCGGTGAGGATCAGCCATCCCTGCAGGAACCCCTCCAAAACATATACTCTCCTGCTGCACCTGCGAACAACTGCTGTTCTCGGGTTACTCCAATTGACTGTCTTTCGTTTGCACATCCGCCCCATCGTAGCTCACTTTACGACCACAAAACAACATCTGCACCATGGCCGCCGCAGCTGCTGTCTACCCTCCGCTTGACCAGCGTCCGGTCAAGAACACTGTTCTTCTCTTCGATGTCGACGACACACTCACAAAGCCGCGCCAGCTCGTCACCCCCCAGATGCTGCAATTGCTCTCAGAACTCCGTCACAAGTGCGCCATCGGCTTCGTTGGCGGTTCCAACCTCGTCAAACAGCAAGAACAACTTGGAGGACCCGTGGATGTCACCTCGCTGTTCGACTTTTGCTTCGCCGAGAACGGTCTCACGGCCATCCGTATGGGCGAGGTTCTGGCTAGCCAGAGCTTCATCTCATGGATTGGTGAAGACAGATACAAGGCTCTTGCCAAGTGGTATGTGACTTGAAAATGCTGCAGAGTATTGCTGATGTAGGTTTGTAGGATCCTCCACTACATCGCTGACCTCGACATCCCCATCAAGCGCGGTACCTTTATCGAGTTCCGCAACGGCATGATCAACGTCTCTCCTATCGGCCGTAACGCATCCACTGAAGAGCGCAACGAATACCAAAAGTACGATCTCCAACATAAGGTCAGGGAAACCATGGTTGCGAAGCTCAAGGAAGCGTTCCCTGACTACGGCCTTACATACTCCATTGGTGGTCAGATTTCCTTCGACGTCTTCCCTACTGGCTGGGACAAGACCTACTGCCTACGTCACATTGAGGCAGAGAAGGGTCTCTCTGGTGTTGTCTACGACAAGATCCACTTCTTTGGTGACAAGGCTTACGAGGGCGGAAATGACTGGGAGATCTACAGCGATGAGCGGACTATCGGACATAAGGTCAAGAACCCAGACGACACCTATGCGCAGCTTCAGGAGCTGTTGAAGAGCTTCTAGTAGGATGAACCGAAGGCATATGGGGCGATATTGTTGAGTTGGAGACGGCATGGCAGCTTTGTTCTCTTTGAGATCAATTCCACCGGCGATGGAGCGACACGATAAATAATGCGAACAAGATTTATATCAGTCCATTAACCCTAGGATCTATGAACTGTAGCTTTTATGGGCCGAGTCTTGTTTGTTCGCATCTCTGCATCGGCAGATTTCAATCCCGTGTCTTTCAGTCAGACTATACGATCTATAACTTGAAAGAGGAGATAGTCGCTGCTGACACGACAGTAATTTGTTGACAACGAACCAGGAAGAATTGTTCCAAGGACATTAGCCAGACCGCTTATCGAAACCTTAAACCACCGGAGCCTGCATGTGGTAGATTGACAAGATGTTAGTCAGACAACGCCTTGCTTCACGGCCAGCAGCTTCAATCCCGAATGGCATTCTCTCCGTCCACAACAGCGAGCTTGCAATGTACCAATCAAGTGTTTACCAAATATTGTCCAAACACAGTTTTGAGATCCACATCCACCTCGCCAAACCATGCCCCGAACGTCAAAAACGCCGCCTGGCGCCATGATACCGTCACTACTCGGGTGCGGGGGCAGATTGAGGACCTGCATACGCCCTGTAGCCTCGTAGCCAATTGGAATTAGCCTCCCTACTTTCGACCTGTTTCTAAGACGGTTTCGGAAAGTCGTTCATGCCGGGTAAAAGGTATGGGCCGAACTTCACAAAACCAAGACGCTAGATGCTTTGCACCTCACCAAGGAAGGGAAAAGAGGACGAGGGGTTGAGATCTTTCGAATGTCTGAGAGACTACAAATAGTGGTCTCTGTGCCTAGACGCCTCCAAAACGTATCGTCGAAGTTGGTGTGTTCTCCATCATGAAAATCCCTGCAATTCCACTGCTCGGTCTGCTTCCCACTCTAACTTCAACCTCTCCTCTTCACCATGCTTCTTGTGTTTCACCACAGTCTATCTCCAATTCCTCAAACACATACGATTACATCGTCACGGGCAGTGGCCCGGGCGGCGGCACTATCGCTTCAAATCTAGCTCGCGCTGGCTACTCTGTTCTGCTGATTGAAGCGGGATCTGATGCTTCATCCGACATTCGTACTCAGGTACTTGCTTTGAATGACTTCTCGAACGCGAATGTAGCTTGGCACTTTTTTGTGAAGCACGGTGATGATGAAGAGAGGCTGAAAAGGTATAATTTGTTGGTTTGGAGATTGGAGAATGGGGAGTGTGAGTTTGGTATTGAGTGTAGAGCGCATACGAACTCATTGCTGACGTCGTTGGTAGATTGGGTTGGGAAAGATCCCAGTGCTGAAGGACACGTAAATGCTGAGAGGTTGGGTATTTTCTACCCAAGGGGTGTAAGTAATGTCGTGAGAAACCCGTGCAGGATAGATACACTGACTTGAGTTACCGAGTCTAGGCTACGCTGGGTGGAAGCGCAATAATCAATGCCGCCGCGACATTCCTGCCGAGTGATAGCGACTGGGATTTTTTTGATAAGGGAGTTGAAGATGGTATCTGGAGGTGAGTTGTTGAGAATGTTAATCATTGCAGACGGTGCTAATATCCCTATAGCGCCAAACTGATGCGCGAATACTTTGAGAAGATTGAGCACAACAACTACCTTGACAAAGATACTCCCGGCCACGGCTTCACAGGCTGGCTGCAGACCAATATTGCCGATCGCGCCACTCATGCAGCTTCAACACTTCGCTTCAAGGTCTTCGAAGCATGCTTGAGATTGGTGGGAAAGGATCCAGAAAAGGTTTTGGACTATCTTACTAGCGACAGTAACTACCTGGATCCAATGCGTGACCAGTCAGAGGGTTTATGGTCACTGCCTTATCACGTTACACCGAACTGGAGGCGCTTCAGTCCACGCGATCGTGTTCTGGAAACGCGTAATCTGACGAATGCGACGCTGCATCTCCAACTCGAGTCTTTGACCACGAAGGTGCTGTTCGATAGCTGCAGTGGTAATGATACGAAGCCGCGAGCAGTTGGAGTCGAATATCTTCAAGGCAAGTCGGTATACAAGGCCGATCCGCGCCGCAACGCTTCCAGCACAGGCACTCTACATCAAGCTTTCGCTCGAAAAGAGGTCATTGTGTCTGGCGGTACCTTCAACTCCCCACAGATTCTGCAACTCTCTGACATCGGGCCCAAAGCCCTCCTCGAGAAATACGACATTCCCGTAGTCTCTGACTTACCAGGAGTGGGACGCAATCTCCAGGACAATTACGAGATACCCGTCTACGGAAACGCTCAGGTCAGCTTGGCGGCAGCGCCTGATCCCGATGCTCCACAATGTACATACGGTGCTCCAGGCGATCGTAAGTGTCTCTGTACGGACTGCGCATGAGATAAATGCTGATTTCGTACGCACATGTTTAGCATGTCTTGATCTCTGGTACAAGGGGGAAGGGCCCTACTCGCGAGGTGACTCAAACTCAAACGCCTTCCTCATCAAGACGCCCCACGCAGTCGAAGGCGAAAGAGATATGCTTATGTTCGCCGGCACAGGCAGGGCTTTCGCCGGTTTCATGCCCACGGAATTTCTCAACCGTACATCCTATCCTCCCTCCACGTTCTCCTGGTCAACAGTCAAAATCCACCCCCAGAATACCGCCGGCTACGTACAGATCCAATCAGCAAACGCAATCGATACACCAGAAGTGAATCTGAACTATTTTGCCGAGGGTGCAGAAACAGATCTCAATGCCATGCTCGACACAGTTGCTTTTGCGCGTAGAGCCTTTGCTTCTACCGAAGCACCAGTTGGTCCTGTAATCTCTGTTTCTCCCCCTTGCCCACCTGAAGACATTCTTGACACAGGCTATTGTCGAGACACGCAAATTGACAAAGACTGGATACAAGACCAGGCTTTCAGTCACCACCCTACAAGCACGAATAAGGTTGGGCCAGACTCTGATCCTTTGGCTGTACTAGATACGAGGTTGAGAGTTAGAGGAGTTCAGGGATTGCGTGTTGTAGACGCCAGTGCGTTTCCCAGATGTCCCGGGGCATTCCCGGCGGTTAGTACATTTTTGTTGAGTGAGAGGGCGACAGATTTAGTGTTGGAGGATGTGGGGAAGTGGTAGGCTAGGTATTGGTGTCGTATCATGGATAGAGAAAGCCGCCCTAGGAAGAGAATGTGGGTAGAAAGACTGCCATCGCTGTCACGCAAACCAAATACAATCTTGTGTGTCTTTAGTACAGACGAATGACAACAATAAAAAAGGTTCGATGGAAGCAATAGGAAAGCGACACGACGATCCAGATGGGAACTTAAGCATAAACTTGAGCCCTGCATTAGCGTGTTTACCCCACCAATAACCCGACCTTCGAATTCGCGCCAAAAATTGTTTGTCGCAAAGCCCGCTGGCCAAAACTTGCCCGCCAACCAGTTTCACTCCAGGACAGTACACGAAACGCTCAGAGCGATACAACTCTCAAACAGTCCGGTACCCATAATCGAAAGCCACAACATGAAGCTCCTCACCTTGAACTTCCTCACCTGCGCCATAAAAACCTGCAAAACAAACCCCGCATCCTTCCCCCTACACCCGCGCGACGCCGAACTCGAAATTGTAGAAGCAGACGTCAACCTAGCCTTTCTCAAAAACATCTTGCCGAGGTTGATGTGGAATGAGTTGAAGGGGATATGCAGTGAGGTATGCGAAGCCCTCAAGTTCTACAATTAAAAGAACGACGACCGCAAGGCTTGCGAAACAGAGGCTAATGTATATACACTATAGCTCGGTCTCCCTGAACTTCCACCAACAGCACCCACACCCGCCGACCTTGTCGAGCCTTCTTCTACCTCTGCCTCTGCGTTAGACACCACGGATGCGACACCGGCAACAGCAACTGAACAAGTAGAAGAGGAGCCTAGTCAGACAGCGAAGGATCTACATAGGATATTACTCGAGACATGTATACAAGAGGGCAAGCTAGTATGTGGAGCATGTGAGCATGAGTATGCGGTCAAGGAGGGGGTCGCGAACTTCCTGTTGCCGGGACACCTGGTATGAGCTTGGAACGTTGTGCATGAGATTTTTGGTTGGACGGTTGAGCGTGGTGGAAATTGAGTTTTCAGGCTGGAGCTTGCGAGCGCAATAACAGTCTACCACGATAAGCCTAGGCTGAGCACAGAGTGTAGGACTACGAGGCCATGGGCACTGCTACACACGCAGGGCATCAGCAGAGAGGCATGTAGGGAGAGGCATGAATGCGGCTGGACGACGGAGGCTGCTATAGGATACCCGTCTGATGATTTCTATACACATGGGAAAAATAGTGTTTTGCACAAGAGCATGGAAGTCAGTGCGACTCGTCTCGACTGCAGAAGTATCACCAGAGTCAAGTCAGAGTTGACAAAGGGCAACGCGCTTAAGAATTGAAGCTACACTTTTCCCTGGCCAGAATGGTATCTACGATATGCGCCTGAACACCCTTGTAACGGCACTTCCACCGGCGAGGACTTTCAACCCTTATGAGCCAAGAGCGCGGTTGATCTGCACCCGCTTATCCTCACCACCCGACACAATGCCCACAGCACGATCCCACCGTACGCTGAAGACCTTGGCACCTTCACCATGGCTCTTTGCAGCATCGCGTCCTTGCCTGTAAATCGTGTACACGCTTTCACCAGTCATTCCCTCTCCAACCTGTCCACCTGTACTAACATTCCTGAGGTCCCAAATTTGAACTGTGCCGTCGTGCGAAGCAGAAGCCAGATTGTATTCAGAAGAAGGATCCGTGTCCAGGGAAACAACACCGTTCTTGTGGCCTCGGAGCGTCATGACACTGATCTGGGTAGCTGACGCGCGGGGGTCGATCAACGTGATGTGTCGTGCCGAGGTACCAGTTGCAAGTAGATTTCGGGAGGGAATCGCGCAGAGGGAAAGAAGCGAGTGACCAGTCGTTCGAGTGTCAACGCACGACTGGGTAGGCAGATCCCATGTCTTGAGCGTATGGTCGTGAGATGCCGAGTATGCGACTGTAGCATCATCCGGCTTGAATATGACGCTCGATACCGGTGAATTGTGACCGCTAAACGTAGCGAGAGCGCCACGAGCGGGAACCGTGCGATCGGGCTTTGAGAGCTTTTGTCGCTTGTTGGAGGCAGCATTTGAGCTCGGCAGGAAGTTTGGCGGTGCGACTGGGTTCTCTTTTGCATTGCTCGAGAAGAGCGAAATAGTGGTATCCGAAGAAGCAGAAAGGATTCGGCTAGACGGGCCATGAACCGCGACGTCTTCTACACCCCATCGATGATTGAACAACTCGAGAGCCGTTGTAATGGTTCGCGCGTCATCATCGTACTTGTAGACACGGACCGTGTTGTCCAAACCTGCAGCCACCATCTTCTTCTCCGACAGCCACTTGGCCGTCTTTAGGCTTGTGATGCGACCACCGTTGTTGGGAGCCTCGGAAGTCGCCAAAACATCGCCTGAAGTGTTCCACACTCTTACTAGCCCGTCGTAACTCGCGCTCAATATTCTCTCTTGCCCACTTTGTACCCCCGATAGAACATCCACAGCAGAAACCCAATCGTCATGCTCAAAGCTTGTGACGTTCAGTGGTGGGACCAAAGCCCTCGTGTATTCAACGTCCAGCGTCGATTCGGCATTGATACCATTCTTCGTGAGAAACTCGTCGATTGTGGTCCGGAGAAATTCGCCATTGATCAAGATGTCGAACGGTATGCGACTGTCGTCATCGCGATGTAAAAGTTCGTTCACAAGTGTTGAAAGCTTGTGTCGTGTAAGGGCTAGAGGCGCATTTGCGTTAGCTACAGTATCAAAGAAGCGGCGAAGGTAATGCGACGATAGAAATACGCTGATATAGTCGCGACGGCTCACAATGTGTGCGCGACTGTATCGCAGCGGATAACACAAAGCCGCGACAAGCGAGTAGGCTTGCGATAGTTCTACTTACATGTCTGAACTAACAGGATGTTCGGCTCCTCCGAAATCTGTAGGCTAGCATCGCGTGTCGTAAGGCGAATCTGCACCTTGGTTTCTGTTGCGTCGATATCCATGGCGTCGGCGGGTTCGGAGATATATGTTGGTTGGTGTTGAAGTTGTGAAGCTTTGGAAATTTTGGGATCTCGAACTTTTTTTCGAATGCGGTTAGCGCGGCGAGAATCAGCCAGTCGGCGTTCGTAGACCTCCGCTCACGTACGACTTCACAGTTGCAATTACCGAATTTACTCAAGTTTAATTGTAGTTACTTACAAGGTCATACGTTGTTTGAGTTTTATGCAGAACACTTGTTGCAGACTTGGGTCATCTCATATCTAGAACAATATGAACTCGCTCACGAGAGCATAGCTGTGCTCCCTTCAAGGGTATATCATTTCATCAAGTCATACTAGTCCTCCTAATCTCAGCAATAGCTCTCCTCCGATGATCGCTAGGCGCGAACAGCGCCTCGATCAGGCCCACAACCTCGTCAGCCTCCATCTCCAACTTCAGCTCACCATCTGTCCAGAAGTATTTGATATCTGCAAGGCTGCTGTCCAATATCTCGCTCAGGTATTGGAACTTAAACCAATTGGGCGTGTAAATACCGGCCATATCTCTCGTCTCTCCATTACCATCTTCTGTTTGGAAATGCTGGGACAGGGTAGCAAGTGACACGCAGTATCCGTGCAGTTTTCTTGACTCGTCTTCTGCGATATCTGACATGTCCTCGACGTCGGTGACAAATTTGGTAAGGGCAGCTGATACCAGTGAGCCAAGTGATTGGAGTAGGGCGCTGTGAGAGAGGACATTCTGCCATTGTCGCTTCACATCACCTATGCGGTCGATAGTCGTGGCGATAGCATCATCACAGACCGTAGCAAAGGGAACGTTAGTACATCCTTGAAAGCCCTGCGCGTCTTCAAGATGATCCCTGATGATTTGTCTTTGTGACTCCATCTCGCGTCCATACGCACGCTTTCCAAATCCGTCAACTGACTTGATATCAGACTCGAGCATCGGCTTGAGACGTTTAGATGGTTGCAAATGCTGTGGTAATGCTGATGTTTGATCTTTCTCAGCCTGGTCTTGAAGAAAAAGTCGCAAACGATCTGACAGCCGCTGACAATCGTTGTAGATGAGCATGTTACTTGCGACGTCTTTAGAGTAATGCATCACAGCAGTAGCTCGGTACATTGCAAGGAGGAGGCTAGGAATGGCGTATAGGCCTCCGCTTGCGGGTGCGATTGCGGACTTGACGAGCTCGGGGGAATTCAGTGTGTCTACCTCTGCAATGACCTGCAAGATGATTTCCATGATAGCATCCGGAATCGCCGTTACTGTGTATGTTTCTCGAAGTGTGACCTCCTGATTCGCGGGCTGTTTTTGAGATGCAGGTTTTCCGTTTGTTTTCGGTTGCTCTGGTATGGTTCTTGCAGGCTTTGGCGATGCAGCAGGTTTGGTGTCAGTCTCATCGTCCCAATCTGCACCCCAATCATCTGCATCCTCTGCATCAGCTGGCTTTTCCTTGGTCTCCTGCTCTTTCAACTCATCATCGACCACATCATCATCCTCACCCCAAGCGCTCATATCTTCTTCTTCATCTTCGACAGTCTGTTTTTTCTCTTCTGTGACTTCTCCTTCCTCGTCCCAGTCAGCAGCCCAGTCGTCTTCCTGTTCATCTCCGGCATGCAATGCATCGCCTTTTGAGATGACTTGCGTCTCGACCCTTTCAACCGTTTTCTTCTCTCGCACAGTCTTTGGGAACATGGCCTGCACTCGGGAAATCGCATGCTCTTTCTGTTTAGCAAGCCATATCTCGGCAGACTTATCCACCCATTCGGCTAGACGATTCTGGCCAGACCAGCCTAGCTCATCAAGATACTCGACCAAGCCCAAGACATAAGAGAGCGACTCTTGAAAGTGCGGGATTCCTTCTGTGGATAATGGCACGGCAGGCAAAAGCAGGTTCGAGATCAGACGAGAAGCGACGATCGGAATAACTTTGGATGATAGTGGAACAGCAATGCTAGGCGGTAGGCGCGTGCTCAGAAACTCGACGAGCAAGTGGATATCCTCTAAGGTAGCTTTTATCCTACCATCGTTGACCGGACCAGCACGTTGGATGACGTCCTCTTGGATTTCAAATGCGGACACGACGCGGTCGGTACCCATGGCAAGGCGGGGGAAGATTATGACTCTGTCAAGATCACGGCTTAGGCGGGTGACGAAGCTATCAAGAAGCCCCAGTTTTGTAAGCGCTTCGATGGTTGTATTGATATCGACCTTGGCCTCGCGTTCGATGGACTGATGCAGTGCGATTCTGTGGCTGGTATTGTCAACCGAAATCAGCCCGTTCCATGACTCTGTCACGGTTTCCACGATAGCTTTCTTCAGCAGCTCTTCCTTGTTCTTCAACACACCCACTACTCTCGTGGTGGTGAAAGGCCCCAGTCTTTGAAAGGCGCCATCTGCGTCCTCCAATATTTGTATAGCGTGTATGACATGGCCATGTACAGCAGCATTCTGGGCGGAGTCCAGCAGAGTCGAGATATCTCTCAGCTGCTCCACCGCTTGTGCCAAGCTCTCATTATATGCAATCTCGGTATGCAACAGGCTGACCTTGCTTGCAGCATCCTGGACGCGAGCGGTGTTTTCTTTGCCAGCTTCGGCTTGTTTTACGATATCCTTGGCCGTTTCTTGCGAGCGTTTGATGTCGTCCTGCAGCTTGCGTGCCTGTGCTATCCAGCCATCGACGTCCGGCGCGGCTTCTGTTGAGAGTTTGCGTACTTCGTTCTGGCAACACAGTCAGCGCCGCCAAAGCTACATGGTAGCTTCACGCACCTTTGTGTCTTCTCGTGCCTTGGCGACCACCTCGAGCAGCTTGGGAAGTGCGCTGGAAGGTACGGTTGCAGACGCGACATGTTCATCCTGGGGAAACGCTCCGTGTGCGGCTGACTGGAGCAGCGCGTCGCCTAGCTGATGATCCGAAACTTGCGAAGGCATCTGTAATTACGGGGCGGTTGACATGTCGATATCAAGAAGAGCACAAGGGTAGGCTAATTCGCAGCGAGGGCAGCCGCAACGTTGCAGGACCAACATTGAAGCTGCACGGACACCCAAGCGACGTCAACGCATGCGTCCCCTGCCCCGCCACACTTACCCCGCCACGCTCAAGGCGTGTGGTCGATTGAAGAACCTGGCACATATGCGTTTGATGACAATCACAGGAGACAAATCTGGATCAGGGCTACTTAGTATATTCGCCATAGCACTATCTTCGTGACGTCGCAGTACTATCGCTCGGTAACTCGCCTCTTCCAAACCCTGCTTTCGATTATTCCCTTCTTCCTTGGCCGGGCTGGCTTTCTGCTACTCGCACTTCTTCTTATCCTCTCGTGAGTCTTGCATTTTCCCATTACACTAGACATCTGGTTTCAAGCGCTAGTATCGCATATCAAATGCAAGCATGCATCGGCTATGTACGACAAGTCAGCTAACACAACAATAGTAGTACCAATTCGGACAAAGCGGCCTGCGCCTGCAGCCTGCACAACGGAGAAAGATACTTCAGCAGCCTCGCTTTGCAGTACCCCCTCTCCTTCAAATTCGACATCATGGGGTCAATACAGCACGAGTCGCATTTCAAGAAGCTGCAGCAATTCAAAGCAAACTACGCTGATGCCACTTTCACTCAGTATGAATCGCAGCGAACAGGTCTCCGGGTAGTCGTAGTCGATCGCAAGGGGCCGAAAGTATACGGAAACTTCGCAGTGGCCACCGAGATCCACGATGATTCGGGCGCACGTGAGTATTCTCACTCGTGTTCTACAAATGTTTACTAAATGACGTAGCGCATACCCTTGAGCACCTCTGTTTCATGGGTTCACGGAGATATCCTTTCAAAGGTGTACTAGACAAGATTGCCACCCGATCATACTCCGACACAAATGCATGGACGGACGTCTCCGAAACAGTGTATACTCTGTCAACGGCAGGTTGGGAAGGTTTCGCTCAGCTACTGCCTATTTACCTGGATCATCTTATTGTACCTACACTCACCGATGCCGGTTGCTACACTGAGGTTCATCACGTTGATGGCAAAGGAGAAGATGCAGGGTAAGTATTTCTTGACGCTTGTGCGTTGTTTGCTAACAACACAAGTGTTGTCTACTCTGAAATGCAAGGACGTCAAAACTTACAGGGCGACCTGATGGATCTCCAGATGCGCCGTCTACTCTATCCTGAAGGCGATGGTTTCCGCATGGAGACAGGCGGCCTGATGGAGAACCTACGAGTTTCTACCGCAGAGCGCATCCGCCAATTTCATCGAGACATGTACCAACCTAAAAACATAAGACTTGTGCTGATCGGAGAGGTGGATCATCCAAATCTTCTGGATGTACTGGACAAGTTCGAGGACCAGATCGTTGACCGCGTACCGGCTTATAGTGCGCCCTTCAAGCGTCCGTGGGTCGAGTCGAAGCAGACTCCACCACTAAGCAAAACAATCGTTGACACGGTCGAGTTCCCAGAAGAGGACGAATCAACGGGCGAGGTTCAAATCGCCTTCCTAGGGCCCAAAACCATCGACGATCTCGGAGAGACTGCCATCAACACACTGCTCAACTACCTTGCTGGTTCATCTGTTTCGGTCTTAGTAAACACGCTTGTGGAGAAGGAACATCTTGCAAGTATGGTCTACTTTTGGTGCAAAGGACATACCGACATGATAATTTGGTGGACCCTGTCATCTGTAGAGACAGATAAGCTGGCAGATGCAGAGAAACGTTTCTTCGAAGTCCTCAAAGAACACGCTTCCAAGCCGCTTGATATGAGCTATCTTAAAGACTGTCTCCATCGTTTCAAGCGTCAAACTCGCTATATGTCTGAGATTGGTATGGATGAGTACAAAGATCCGATTATCAAAGATCACGTCTTCGGTGACCGAAATGGAACTCATCTTGAAGACGCCATGGCCACCCTCGACGTATTCGATACCTTGGACAGCTGGACCGAAGAGGAATGGCGAGCGTATCTGAACAAGTGGATGGTAGATGCTCATCACGTTTCCATTCTCGGTAAACCCTCAAAGGCTCTGTCAGATAAGATCAAAGCAGACGAGATTGCACGAGTCAAGGCACAACAAGAAAAGCTAGGTGAAGAGGGACTGAAGAACTTGGCACAGAAACTCAAGGAAGCCCAAGAGGAGAACGACAAGCCCATTCCAGAAGAGATCATTGCTGGTGTTCAGGTTCCAAGCACCGAGTCTATCCACTTCTACGAGACTACAACAGCACGCTCTGGACTAGCAAAGAAGCTAGGTACATCAAAGAACAATATCCAGCAGATTGTGGACAAGGATGAGAATGGTCTCCCATTATTCATCCACTTCGAACACATTCCAACTTCTTTCGTGCACTTCGGTTTAGCGCTCGGAACCGCGTCGCTACCAACGGAACTTAAGCCTCTGCTCGGTGTGTATCTCACCAACTTCTTCGCTACTCCTATCATGAAGGATGGAAAGCGCATCGAGTTTGAAGAGGTCATCACCAAGCTTGAGCAGGATACGATTGAATACTCCATGGACCGTGGTACTGATATCGGAAGCTCGGAAATGATTTATATTCCCTTCATTGCTGAGGCTGACAAGTTTGAGACGGTCGTCTTATGGCTCAGATCAATGCTTGTTGACTCAGTGTTCGACACTGAGCGCATCATCTCTGCAGTCAAGAAGATGCTTGCGGATGTGCCCGAAGAGAAGCGTGACGGCAACTCGATGAGCTTTGCAGTTGATCGTATGATACACTACGATGCCGCTTCCGCTGTTCGCGCTACTGGAACATTAGTCAAAGGTCTCTACCTAAAGCGCATCCTGAAATTGCTCAAGACGGAACCCCAACAGGTTCTCGACAAGCTCGAAGCCTTGCGAAAGCACCTACTGACCTTTGCCAACATGCGCATTCTCGTGACCGCCAATCTCGAGACTTTGCCAAACCCAGTATCCACCTTCAAACATCTCACCGACGCTTTCAAGCCCGGCCCGGAGCCGACTGTGAACCCAATCGATGATCGCAATGCACTCCTATCAGATATCGGCCGTAACCCAGGTGGCACACACTACATAATCCCCATGCCCATCGACTCTTCCTTCGCAGTACTCACATCCAAAGGACCAAAGGGGTATACAAACGCCCAACTTCCGCCACTCATGGTCGCACTGGCCTACCTCGATGCCGTCGAAGGCCCCATGTGGCAATCAATCCGTGGCACAGGTCTTGCATACGGCAGCAACTTTTTCCGCGACCCCGAGACAGGCCTACTCAAGTTCCGCATTTCCAAATCCCCCAATGTATTTGCCGCGTACAACAAAGCGAAGACAGTCATCAAGGAATACGGCGACGGTACACAGAAGTTTGAGAAGCTGGCTCTCGAAGGTGCCATCTCTAGTATCGTGCGCGACTTTGTCGATGAGCGCGCTACTATTGTCGACGCTGCTAGGAGTTCCTTCATTGATCTTGTTACGCGTGGTGTTGGAAAGGATTGGCAGGATTGGGCGCTCCGCGAGGTGCGCAAAGTGACTGAAGAAGACGTCAAAAACATCTTGAACGAGGTTGTAGCTGGTGTGTTCGTGCCAGAAAAGACGGATCTAGTCGTAACATGCGGTGGTATCATGACTGACGTAAGTTCCTCGTTATTCACCTCTAGTTCTTGCTCTGAAACGCTGCTTACTTTTCTATATAGGGCCTTAAGAAGGACTTTGAAGACGCAGGCTTCAAGATCGAGATCAAGCAGCTAGCTGATTTCCAAGACGCATACGGTCTTGAGGGTGAAGAGGATGATGAGGACGATGACGAAGATATGTCAGGTAGCGAAGACGACTCTGAAAGTGGATCAGAAATGGAGGAGTAGGGTTTAGATACCACCGTGAAACCCATGCTCACCACCAGATGAATAAAGATTTCTGTGTCGCCTGCTCTCTATACAAACACCCTTTCTTTATAAGTAGTACGAAATGCTCTTGGTAGGAGTACACATAGACTTTTATTTACTTGGCTTATCGCAGAGAATACACAGTAAATACGTTTAGAGTAGCTTTAACTTTACGTCTAGTGCGACAAAGTTTTGTGCTACCTCCTCTGCTAGATAATCCGTTTGATATATCACTAAAAGGTATTCAATGTGTGGGTCGAGTAGTTGCAACAACACAGAACGATAGTCCATTCAAGATCTTCTCAACAGTCATATTTATACACTAATGCGACGGAAATTCCTTCCCCAAACAAGAAACGAGAAAAACCGCATTGCCAAATACAACCAAAGTCTGACATCAATCGTGCCAGATTGAACAAGTCCCTCAAAAAGTGGTGTAAATCATCTCTCTCGTAAATACATACAAGGAAGTTAGGTCTCAAAAGGGTAGACGCCAGCAATGCCTCCCGCCCTCAGCAGCCGCGGTCGTAGATTTTGCATATTCGGAGAATGCCAATGTAAAAGTGAGTTCGGTCGAAATTCGAATGGTAAGAAGGTGGGGTTTGGGGAATCACATAAAGAAAAAAACCAGAACGGATAAGGAACGTACACACGCAACGCCGCTAGGTTGGTGGCATATTCGCCGAAAACGCCCCCAACAAAACCTGAGTTGAGCAAATTCTGATCCTCGTGGTGAGACAACTGCTGGAAGCCGAACTATGCATCTTCGGGTAAGATACGCGCAAAGTGCTTTTCCCAAATCCATCCTACTGTTTTTGTTTGATCGTCTTGATTCCGCGCAAGCCATAGCTCACCCTTCATACCAATAACATCGAAAATCTCGCCCGGTACATACACGAGATATGGTATCCCGCCTTCACGCCGATCATGAGCAATGTTGAACTCGAAGAGACTGGCTGCTAAGAAGAGTACTTCTGGCTCGTCGGTGTCCGCAGGTGTAGTAGGAAGATCCTCAACACTACCACGGGCAGGAGAATCCGACATTGGCAGAGCTGAGTTAAAGACACCAGATG